AGAAGTATATTTTAATAATAAATACTCTCTATAATAAATACTTTAATAAAATAATTTAATAATAAATACTCTCTATAATAAATACTCTCCATCTTTCTCTCTCTTTTTCTCTACCTGTCTTTAATAAATTATATCAATTAAATTGTATTTATTAAATTATATCTTTAGAGAGAGAAGGGAGAAGCGACTTTAACAAGTAGCGTATAAAAAGGAACGAACCAGAGGAACAGCTCAGTATCAGGCAGCTCTTTGCTTTGATGAAGTGTACTGCAAGATACTGAGTGAGAAGAGAAAAAAGAAAGATGATAAATGAGAGAGAGAGATATGGAAAGAGAGAGAGAAAGAGAGAGTGAGAGAGGAAAAGAAACACACACACACACGCACGCACGCACGCACGCACACACACACACACAATCCAACTCAACCTAACCCAACCCAACCCAACCTAATCAGCCCTTTTTCTTTTTCTTTTTCTTTTTACGGAAGGGAAATGCTTGACGCATACCCCGGGTCTCGCGGGAGAGCCCGGGGTTATGTGGGACTTGCACCCATTAAAACCCCTCCGGGTGTCCTGAACAGGCTATAGCTGAGAAACTCCCAGGAACGCGTGCAGCATGCTTTTGGGAATCTGGCCAGTTGGCTGTTGTCGGATCTATCCTGCCCGGGAATCGTCGGGAAGACGACCCAGGGCGGCGCATGGCGCGGACTGCCCGAGTCGGGCGCTGGGGGGGGAGGGGAACATCACCCTCGCGCCGACCCCTCGGTTGTTGAGAGACAGGGGTTGAGGATTCCGGCCCCCGCCAGAATCCCCAGCCCCCTAAGGCGCGCCAAACGAGAGTTCGAACGCCCATTGTCGGCGGGTTATTCTCGAGAGTGGTACGCCATTCCCGAAAGACCCGCCGACGAACCTTCCCCCTCAGTCGGTCAACGGCCTCGGGGGTTACGACCCCTTCACCCCCCGGCGTAGCCGAATGGCCTTCACCCTGGCGTAAGTCTCCGCCAGGGCGTCGACCACGTATTCGGCAAGGGGGGATCCCCGCGAGGACCACGGCGGCCGCATACGACACCGTCCTGTAGACCCTACAAATCCTTAGGGCCAGCCGCCGTTGCACACTGTGCAATCTGTTAATGATACGGCGGCTGACCGGGGCCTTCCCACTCCATACCGAGACCCCATAGTAGGCACCGGACAGGACGGCGTGCATATACGCCCGCCTGACAGACGCATTCGGACCGCGAAGGTTGAGCATGAGGCCGAGCAGAACATCCGCCCGGCCGCCCAAATGCTCGACAAAGCCTCAGCGACTGTCCAGGATGAGGCCCAAATACTTAATATTGAGCCTCACCGGGACGCGGATTTCATCCACCACGATGTGTGCCCAAGGGGGCACCCCACTTTTCCCATCGTGGAAGAAGATAGCTTCCATTTTGGCCGGGGCCAGTCTCAGGCTCAACTCCTGCCAGCTTGCCCTCCTTGCTTAGAAGGACAAGCCGGGCCCTCTTCTACGACCAGGGGAAGCTTCCCACTCTGAGGCAGCTCGTGTAGAGCCTCCCCTACGGGTACCTGTCCAGGAAGGAGACGAGCTCCCCCCCCCAGGCATCGGCCTTCGCCTTTCTTATGGCCGCCCTGAGGGCGCTCCTTGCACTTCAGAGTACCCCGGCGACCGATTCCTTCTCCTCATCGGTACCCCGCCGCCTGAGTATACGCTCTTCTGGCAGCCACGGCGGCCTGACGTAGCCCAGCCAGCTCCTTGGACCACCAGTAGGCTGCCCTCCTCGTCATTGGGCGGCAGCGGGGCATCGACGCGTCGCACGCGCGCGACATAACACCCCCGAGCCACTCGGCCTCCTGCTCCACCGTATTGGCCGGGTTTCGCTCCGGCCAGGTGGCGGAGAGAAGGCTCACCTTGAGAGCGCCGGAGTCCAATTTTCGCAGGGCCCATCGACGTTCCTCCTTTTCTCGGCGGCGTCTACGCGACACGTCCACGGGGGTGAACACCAGATCCATCCGGATCAGCCGATGATCGGACAGCTCTCCCTGCGTCCACGTGCCATCCCTTGAACCCAACTCAACTTTTTTTTTTCATGGGGAAATGCCGTTACGCATCCCCTCACCCTCGAGGGGAGGGTGAGGGGTATGTGGGACTCGGGGTCGTGAAGAATAACGAACCCCCATACCCACTAAAACCCCATGGGAGACCTTCCTGATGCGATGTTGAGAGGGAGGCGAGGGTACGCCGGAAGCATTTCATCTCGCCCTCCCCCCGCGACCTTTCTTGCTGTCTGAAAACCAAATTGGCTTTTGCGCTCTCGCGCACTCCTTCTCGTCCTAACCCGGCCCCGTCAGGCAGGGTCTCCGCTGCCTGTCGGGCCACCTTAGGGAGAGATGCTGAGGAGAGCAGCCCCCCGCTGCCCCTCCCCGCCCCCTGGCTCCTTGAACCCTACCGGTTCGCGAGCCACTCCCTGACCAAATGGTCAGGCTTTGCCCCGGCTTTGCCTAGGCGGGTGCGTTTCCGCCCCCCCCCCGCCTCCTCCTCCTCTTTCCGCCTCTTGCGGTTCGAGAGCTGGAGGGGCTGTTTCCCTCCTCCTCTCTCTCTCTTTCCGCCCTTTCTTTGGCGGTCATCACTTTAATGACAAACGTTGCTACGGCGCGCCAAGCGCTTTCTCCACTCACCATGGCTCTTACCAGAGCCGTCGGGGCCAGATCCTGGCCCATCTCTTCTTGTAGTTCCGCGCGCTCCTCCCTCCAGGCTTCGCAATCCTGGAGAGTGTGCTGCGCGTCATCCACGACATTGCGCCTGCAGTGATGGCATCGGGCACTTCTCTCCCTTCCGATCCTCTGCAGATAGGCCCCGAAACAGCCGGGGCCTGTTAATAACTGCGTGAGGTGGAAGGAGAGCTGCCCGTGTCTCCTGTCAATCCAAGCGGGGAACACGGGCCGGATCGCGCCCAGCGTCCGTGCTCCCGCCAGTCTTTCGTCTCTGAGAGACTCCCTCCAGCCCGCCAGGGCCTTAGTTCTCGCCCTGCGTCTCGCCTCCTCCATTCTCGTGGAGGTTATCTTTCGCCCTGCCGCTCTGAACGCCCTCCGCCAGTGGTACACCTCGGCGTACATAGCGGCCAGGCTCTCTATCGGCGGGATGCCCGCTAGCACGGTTACCGCGCTAAAGGACACCGTCCTGTATGCTCTTGCTATTCTCGAGGCTATGCGCCTCTGGCATCCATGGGTTATACGGCGCAGCTGTGCCGACCCATCCATTTCTTCCGCCCACACCGGTGCCCCGTACAGGAGCACCGAGTGGGTGACTGCGGCATAGACCCTCCTCACCGCCGCTCCCGGTCCACCCAAGTTCGGCAAGAGCCTCGCCAGTGCGCACGCCATCCTGTCCGCCTTCGGAATCAGTTTCCTGAAGTGCGGCAGGAAGCTCCACAGTGGGTCCAGGTGCAATCCTAATTACTTTATGGATCGTCCTATCTCAATCTCCTCCCCATCCACTGTGATCGTGTTCTGGGGTGGCCCTCCCGTGGACGCCTTGTAAAAATACATCGCCTCGGTCTTATGAGCCGCGACCTTCAAGCCCATCGCCTTGATTGCTTTTACCGTCCTGGCTGTGGCCAAATTGGCCGTCGCCAGTGCGTCTCCCCAGTCCTCCCCCGCCGCTAGCACCAAGGTATCGTCTGCGTAACAGACCATGGTGCAGCGGGGGGGGACAGCGAGGTCCGTAGGACCCTGTCGTACGCCAGGTTCCACAAAAGTGGACCCAAGACAGAGCCCTGCGGGACCCCTCGTCGCAATCTCTTTGACCGGACGGCTCCGGCGCTGTCCCTCCATTCGAGGGTTCTACCCTCGAGGTATTTTCTAATGATCTCTACCAAATATGTTGGTAGACCAAACGTCTCTTCCATCGCTCTCATGATCCACCTCCACGGGATCGAATTAAAAGCGTTGGAGATGTCTAGTGAGTCAGCCAAAACTACCTCTCCTTCTTCCGTCTCAGTTTCTACCCATTCCCTGACGAACTTGATCGCATCCACTGTCGATCTGCCTTCTCTAAATCCGAACTGGCACTCGGACAGTTTATTTTTCCCCATGGTAGGGTTGCGTCTCAGTTGTTTTCCAATTCTGTCAGCTATGACACGCTCGAAGACTTTCGCGCTCTCGTCAATAAGGCAGATGGGCTTGTAAGACGAAGGGAGGCCAGCCGGTTTCCCCTCTTTAGGGATTAAGACCAGGGTAGCCTTTTTCCATATCTCTGGGAAGTGCCCCTCTCGGAGACACCCCTCCATCAGCTCCCTTATGTCCTCCCCGACATGTGGGATGGCCATTTTGAGGGCAGCTCCGGGGATGCGGTCGGGACCCGGCGCTTTGGCGACCCCCCCGATCCTTTTCACCGCCCACACCATCTCTTCCTCCTTCATTTGCCAGTTTTCCCTCTAGGGAGCCGGTAGCTCGTACCTCCGCGGGGGCAGTTCGTCGTCCCCCGGGAAGAGCTCCGCCACGATACGCTCTACTGCCTCCGGCTCCAGAGTCTCCGTTATCGGAGGCGTCCAGGGCTTGAGTCTACCCATGACCAACTTATAGGGTCTGGCCCATGGGTCCTTATTCAGGGTCTCGACGAACTCTGTCCAAGCCTTTTCTTTCGCGTCGCGTATTAATGCTTTCATCTCCTTTTTTACCTCCCTGAGGTTTTCTCGGAGCCCGACAGCCTCCTCCTCACGACCGCGCCTTTTCATTTTGGTGAGTTGGCGTTTAATCCTTCCAGCTCTTCTCCTGGTTTCCGCTATCTGTTCGTTCCACCAGTAGAGAGCTTTTTTCCGTACACTTCTCTTCTTCGGCATCGACGCATCACACGCTCTCCACAGGGTCTCGCGCACGTTCCTTGCTCTTTCCTCCAGACTAGCTTCCCCCTCTTTCACGGCATCCGCTGACCACCTACCAGCCTGCATTGCCGCCTCAAACATGTCTTCATCGATATGTCTTACCGCCCATCCTCTGTTCTTGCGGCTCACGACCTGCTCTTGACGCTCCCGGCTTCCCGGTAGGCCTAACTCAAATCTTACGTACCTGTGGTCCGAATAAGTGAACCGATCTTCGTCCACGTGCCATCCTGCTATTCTACGGCATGCGGCAGGAGTCGCCAACGTCACGTCGACAGACTCCCCCTGCCACCGTACGCAGGTGCTCGCCTGGCCCTGACAGACAGCCCCAGGTTTGCCATCCAGTCGAGGAGCAACTCGCCTTGGCGTCTGTGATTCCCGATCCCCAGGCTCTTGCTTTGGCGTTCAGGTCGCCCGCCACAATCGTAGGGGGGCGCCCATGTTTCTTCGCACCGCCAATTCCAGTCCATCGAGGTACTTCTCAAAAGCCTCCGTACTATTATTCGGGGGTGCGTTGCACGACGCTATGACCGTTCCAGTACCTGGATGGGGGGCGAGTTCTCGCTCCCCGCCCAAACTACCGCCGCCAGCCCCTCCGTGTCCCCAGCCCAGTGAGGATGCTCTGGGACTCTGTAGGGTTCCGATATTATTGCCAGATCCCACTTCTCCTCGACCATAGCTTGCAGCAGCAAATCTTGTGCCGCCGCCGTATGGTTTAGATTCACTTGCACCAGTTTTAGGGGCATTGCGGCGCAGCTATAGCTTCCTCCAACCCTATTTCCATCGGGGTCTCTTCGCTACCCCTGCCAGCACTCGTAGATGTTATGCGAGGTGGCCTCTTCTCCTTCGGGGCCTCTGCTACCCCCGGTTCCGGAGGCGAGGATTTTTGTACCCCAGAGGGGCTCTGCGAGATAGAAGAGCTTGGTGGTTTCGCCCCGCCCCGCCGCCTCCCCTCTCCTCTCCTTGTGGGTGCAGCGCTTGCTTTCCTGCCGGATTTCGCGTTGCACTCCCTGGATCCAATTTTATGGTCTGCCTTTCTTCCCGCCTTTTTGCACAAGGGGCACTCCGCCGGGCGGTGGCACTCGCTGGATTTATGATCAGCTTGACCACATCGATAGCAACATTAGCTCCTATCCGTTCCGCTGTTGCATCTGGCACTTGTGTGTCCGGCCTCTAGGCACTTGAAGCACTGCACCCTTCGCTGTTGTAGAACGTCTACCCGGTAGGAGAGCCATCCGATCTTTATCCTTCTCTGCGCCGTAATTTTCCTTGCCGCCAGTATGGGACATTGTATCCACGCGCCGCCCTGTCCCAGTCCGCCTGCTGTCCGCCTAATGGGGCCTACCTTCACCAGGTCTTTGGCGCAAGCCCCTAGCGTGGCTATCGCCTCCGCGATCTCTTCCACACTGACCGAATCGTCCAGGTCCCGTATCCGGAGATCTACTCTTCGGTGGGGCCTGGTTATCTTAACTCCTTCTCTGAAGGCCAGCAGCTCGCTAAGCCTTCCTGCGAGAGCATCAGCCTTGCTCCCCTCTTTATCCCCCGGGATTTCTAGGATCATGGCCCCAGTGACCGCTTTTCTGGGTCTGACCTCTTGGATTCCTAGTTCTTGGAGATTAATACTGGTCCTCGCCTCTTTCATAACCTCCGCATAGCCCCCCGGTGGTGCCGTTATAACCACCGCCGGCATCCTAGGCGGCTTGCCAATCTTAGGCGTTTTCCCAAGACCATTCTTGGCCATGTCCGTACTTTTTCGGGGGGGAGGAGCCTTCTTATCCCGTCCTGACTTCTCCTTGTTTCCTTTCGCAGGTGCCTTATTCCCGGAGTCCTTTTTGGCTACCGCGGTCCGATCCCCCTTCCTCCTCGACACTTCGCTACCCTTCTGCGTTGGTTGCGATTGCGAGGTACGAGGTTGGGGATCATTGGCAGGTGTTCTCGCAGGAACGCATCCCGCACTCTTCTCCCCTGACTCGCCACCTGACTTCTTCTTCTTTTGGTTCTTACCAGAACCACCTTTTGCCTCTGTGGGACCCTTCCCACCGGTCTTGGCTACTTTTATAGTCTCCCCATTGACCACGCCTAACTCCCTGAGTACTGAGACAATACCTCTTACGTCATTGGGGTCCGCGTGTCCATCCTTGTCGCCTCCCCCCGTTCTCATGGAGGGGCCCAGCGAACCGTCGTCCAGATTTCTGGACGCCACACCCATGAGCGGGGGCCTAAACATCGGTGGCAGAGGCTCTCCGGTTGCCTGATCACTCGAAGGGCCCGCTTGTGCCCCCCCTCCCCCCCCGTGTCCATTTCCGTCGCCTGTGGACCTTTCCCTGGATCCTCCATTTCCATATCCGACTCGTGGTCGGAATCGAGGCGTCTTGCGTGCCTCCTCCTCTCTCAGTCGGGGGACTCTATGATCCTCTGAGCCCTCAGCTTCTTGTTCTCTTCTTTGGTCGCCCTCAGGTTTTTCTTGAAGGCTTCCAGTTCCTTCCTAAGGACATTTATCTCTGTCCTCATCTCCTCGAGCATCCCTGAATTCTGGGTGCCCTGGGCCCTCTCGCTCATCACAGTGGTTGCCGCGGTTATATTGGCGGCCGCCTCATAAAGCGCTTTTATAGTCGTTCCCTTTAGGTTGTTGGCGGTGTTTGCCAACTTCTCTATCAGGTTGACTCCTTCATCCACAGCCGTGTTCAGATCATCCGTTGGTTGATCTGCATATTCTTCTATGAACGCCTGTTTCATTGCTCGGGACTTTTTGGCCCTCTTCTCGGGCAGCTGGAAATCGGGATCCATTGCCGCTCTCTCCGCTTCTCTCAGCGAGTTTAGTTTGAGGAATTGCTTCCTCGTTTCCCTTGGGTCGATATTAAATCGTCCCCTATAATCCCTGATCTGGTAAAATTCCTTGCCCTTACATTTCTTCGTATCCGGGTCATCGTCGTCATTTTCCATGACCTCCGAGCCTGAAATACCCCCCTCTCGCTCCTTCCGCGATCGCTTCATACCCGCGATCGCTGCGGCTGTTGAGTCCGTAGTGCCAATAGATGACAGCGATGTACTGGACTCTGATCTCACTAGCATCACCTGCGATGTGCTTGGGGTTTGTTGTTCCCCCTCTTTCTGCGCAGAACTTGGAGCGCTTGCAGCTTGGTTGTTGTGTAGCCGTTCCAGGACGATCCTCGCCCCCTCCAACTCCTTGTTCCCCATCTCGCTCCTCTTCTTCGTCGGTTTTTTTAGTTTAATAGCAGATTCCATTCCTAGTAAGATTTCAAAGGACGGTTCGCCCATCATGGGAGCCCCACCGCGGTGGGGCATCTTCCCCGTCATTAAGAAGCCCTATTGACCCAGCCGAGAGGCGGTCTTCGGATGGTCAGTCCTAGCCGGGTGCATGATTCTACTAAAAATGTTACGGGATAGGCCCGCGCCAAAAATTATGCTATAGGTTTAACGTCACCCCTATTACCGGCTGCCACCTTACTGACGGGCTCTTCACCGGCCCCGGGCTAGACGGTGCCGCGGTTTACCCGCCGCGGCACGGGTATGAGGGGACGCTGACCTGGCGCCCCTCCACGCGTGAGTCTTCCGTCCGCCTTTGACCGCCGGATAGGCTCCGATCAAGTCGGTGGCAGCGGTCCTTCCCACTAGTATGCGTGCCGGTTCACGGGACCTTTGCCTGGCCGAGGCCAGGACTTACAGTTACCCTTATTACCCCGGCAAAGGCCCAGGAACTCGACTTACCACCGACCCCGGTCAGAAGGGAACTATCCCTCGCTTGATTAGTCTCCGGGGAATCGCCAGCAGACTTCCACCGCACCTCATTCAACTATCACCATTCATACTATGTACCCCATCTACGCGGGGTATGGTGGGCTCTTATTAAGGCATCCAAGTTGGACCCAAAGCCCCCTCGCCACGACAAGGCGGCCCACCACGAGGGAGAATCCAACCCAATCTAACCCAACCCGATCAACCCAACCCAACCCAACCCAACGGGCATATATACGATAGCGTTGGCGAAAAGATTGAGGGAGAATGTGCAAGAGAAAGGATTAATTCCTTGAATCAGACGGGCAATAAAAAGAGATGGAAACATTAGATAATATATACCATCTAATCAAATTTGACCCGGACTGGTCCATTTAAACCGCGCGCATAAATTGAATCGGTAAAAATTTTTTTTTTCTAGATTGGTACAACCTTCTCTGACATTCGTGTGAAATTTGAGCGGGATACGTCAGTTAGTGTGTGTTTGGCAGCCATTTGTTTCTCTGGCGATTTTTACTATGAAAAAAAAATTGAACAACGAGTTTGCTTGAAATTTTGTGTTTCCAATGGAATTACGGCTACGGAATCATTGAAAATGTTGCAGAAGTGTTTTGGGTAGTCTACTCTATCGAGAACGCAAGTATTTGAGTGGCATAAAGCATTCAGTGAGGGTCGTGAGGTCGTAGAAAACTTGTCTCATGCGAGTCGTCCATCCACCTCTGTTAACGACGATAACATGGAAAAAGTGAAGGAAATTGTGCTTGAAAATCGTCGTGTTGGCATTAGAGAGATAGCAGAAGCTCTCAACATCTCTTATGGATCGACTCAACACATTTTGGTTAATGTTTTGGGTATGAAGCGCATCGCCGCCAGACTCGTACCGAAAGACCTGAATTTTTTGCAAAAAGCACGTCGAGTAGAGGTCGCAGAAGAGATGCTTGCCAACGTAACTGATGACCCTACATTCATCAAACGCGTCATTACTGATGATGAGACGTGGGTTTATGAATATGACGTCGAAACTGCCCAACAATCTAGCGAGTGGCGCGCCAAAAATGAACCGAAGCCGAAAAAACCACGTCAAAGTCGGTCGAAAATCATTTCGATTACCGTGGTGTGGTTCACCATGAATTCGTTCCAGAGGGTCAAACGGTCAATAAGGAATACTACTTGGCCGTTTTGAGGCGTCTACGTGAAGCAATTCGTCGTAAACGGCCGGATTTGTGGGCAGACAATTCATGGATTTTTCACCACGATAATGCGCCGTCACATTCCAGCCTGATTGTGACTGAATTTTTGGCCAAACACGAAATAAAAGTCATCGCTCAGCCACCGTATTCGCCAGATTTGGCTCCCTGTGACTTTTTTCTGTTTCCGAAACTCAAATATCCGCTCCGGGGAACGCGCCATGAATCGATTGAGGCCATAAAAAGAAATTCGCTGAAGGAACTAAAGGCCATCCCGGCCGAGGCCTATAAGAAGTGTATGGAAAATTGGATTAATCGTTGGCATGCTTGTATTGGCTCAGAAGGAGGCTATTTTGAAGGCGATCATAAAGATTTGTATTAAAATACATAAAATTGTTATTTTTTTTAACCAGTCCGGGTCAAATTTGATCAGATGGTATATGGTTTAATTTTGTAATAAATCGGCAGGTAAGGAGGAAACAGGAAAAACTAACAGCATTAGTTATAGATTTGAAAGTGGTGTTTGATTCGGTGGATAGGATAATATTGTGGTGGCTTTGAGGCTAAGGGGAGGGTAACAGGAGGGTAATCCCTGATGATAAGGGAGAAGCTGATAGAAAGAATGAAAGAAATGTTGTGGAAAAGAAAAAGTAGAGTGAGAGTGAGGAGAGAATTAGGAGAAAATTTTTGTATAACGAGAGGTGTAAAGCAGAAATCTCCGTTGAGTCCTTTGTTTAATATACTGACGGCAGACCTGGAGAGAGAGATGGAAAAAGTTAAATTGGGGGGAATGAAGCTAAGAG